TAAATTTCATTAAAAATCCGTTCAGTGGATTAGGAGTGATTCAGTATGAAACTTTTGAAAAGATTTTTGCAAACTTTAAAGTCTAAACTAACATCATAAAGAGGACAATTATGATTTTTGTTTGTAATGGGTAAACTCAAAAATTACTTATGAAAATATTATCTATTTTTGAAAAACATGTCTTTAAAAATTCTTTTACCTATAAGAAGATTTATTATTATCAGCGAATAACGTGTGGTTGTATTTTATTAATATATATATTTAAATCTTGCACATGAGCTTACATTACATGTTTGTTAATTCAGGGTATAGTATAATATGCGTGCTAAATTCACGTAATCGAATTAAAGTCTTTTTTTATGGGAAAATCTCGGAAAAACGACCGTATTAGCGCTATACTAGGGAGATGTGTTAATGAGGTGTGTTTTTTATAGATATCAAGTAAAAACTGATTATATCGTTAATATATCTACTTCAATACTATAAACAGACATAGACATTACATTTTGGTTTACATTGGGTAGTAGAATTTATAATACGACATGCTGAATACCGCAGTTTCGCTCGCGTCGATTAGTAAGTACATGAAGTGTCCCATGTACACCTACCTGTGTACCAAATTTCATTTAAATAAATTGAAATGTTTCTTTACAGTATGTAGTTGTAGGAAAAAAAAGATATTTATTATCTATTTACTTATTAGGAAGAACTAGGTACCTGTCTACATATTTAAAATATTGTCTTCTTATTATTAAAATAATGTCAAAGTTTTATTAATCAATTAACAAAATGTGACACATGATACATTAGTGCTTCTTTATATGTACTCACTTAGGTAGGTAACAGCTTAACCTCAATACTAACGACAAAGTAATAAAACTAATTAATCACTTCGTGTCTCGCCCCTAATAAATATAATCATAACAATCTATAATAACAATTTGATAATATTTTATAAACATTTCATTCGATCAGTTTAACCGAATAAAAATAAATAGGTATGTACTTATGTAGAAACGACGCAATAAGGCGATTCCTAGGGGTTTCAAGGTCTAAGATGAGGTGCAGGATATACAAGGGGTAACCATAGAGGTCGCACATCGGTAAAAGGTCGGAACAAATTCGACATTAGTACTTTTGACTGAACAACGTGATTGCGCCGTCAAGAAAGATTGGCACTCCCGATCCTCCCTCCGGCGACCTTTTCACCGTTGTCAAGGAGCTGTGTCAAAAATTTGCCCAGGGTACCAAGTAGGCCAAGGACGGCCCAGTGCTCATGTATCTCGGAAATATTAAATTACAGATGCCTATTAAAAGAAACTCCAAACAACATCATAAAATTTTCAAGCACTCTTCTTTTATTAATATTGGCATTATCAAAAATGGATTATGTTGTATTACGCACGTCATTTAATAAATCAATAATGACGTAATCGTTATTGCAATATTTGATTGTATTATTATAAAAATCAAAAATTATTGCTGCAATATAGCGTAGTGTTCGAATATTGTTCCTATATTTATTGAGTCACTTTGTTTACTATTTGCTGTTTAAAAGCAGTTGCTATTTTTAATGGGATGAAAATGGAATGATAACTTCACTTGCATTATCGATATATTTTTTTACATCATCATTTATTTATCATTACAATTCAATACAATTAGATTGTAGATTATAATTTATATACTTTTTTTAATGGGTGATAATGAAATAATAGCAGTGTATACCAATAGCCCCGCCTGCGCTATTAGTATACACGGGCCATCAGTATGGGATTGTAGATGAGGATGAAGCAGGTTAGTTAGCCCATCGTGACAAATTCAACAATAAACCAATCGCGATGGTTTCCAGGGGGAACCGCGAAGAGCTCAACCTGATAGGGTTTATTTCTAGCAATCGGGTTGCTAATCCCCATTACTAAAAATCCCTTCCATCCAGTAATTATATACTATCTATCAATGTATATCATTGTTATGGGGATCTACATTTACCGAATTATTGCATCATATTTGCAGTCATTAAGAATAAGGGAAGAGGGTTAAAAGTAGATCCTGGTTGGTTTACAAGGAGTAGCCATATTTCATTTTGCATTTCATAATATTACAATAATCTATGTAGTTAAGATAAAAAATTAGGACACAAATTTTTATTAATGTTTTATTTGAACAAAGATAATAATAAGACAGTATTTACGATGTTCTTTCATCGATTAATAAGAGGATGTAGTTTTTTTTTTTATCGGAATGTTCAAAGCTGATATAATTTTAATTAACTATGTTGCTTCCGTCTAAGGAATTTTTAGACTGTGTTTCCGGTATAAAATTAATTAATCTTTACAAAATATACATTGTCAAGTCATTATCTGAATGATGTAGATTATATTCTCTTTAGGTATCAAAGATAATACTGTACTTCAGCATGTTGTGGACTCTACAGATAACAACGATTATTATTTGAAAATATGTCGATATTATCACTATTAGACTAATGGATCATTCACGGTAATCTCATGTTTCTTATAATTTTTAATTTTATAATTAATTATGACATTTTCCATTTAAATGAGGTATATAAATATTTGTTACTTTAGATCTGAAACGAAATATTATGGCAAATATTATGTATAGTATTTAATTGTACTTAAAAAGTTGTATGTTTGTGTTTGGTATCGTAATCTTCTTTTAGCCGTTAAATTATCTAGCTGTCTGCTGTGTAACATATTCGAGGTTTTCGTTCATTTGAGAGAAGGGTTTGTGGTAGTTGTGGAGGGGGGGGGGTTAAGTGTAGAGGTGGGTGTTCGTCCTTTAATATGTTTTGATCGCAAGGTATATTCATGGTGACTTTGTTTTCTTATGTTTACACAAATAGTGTAAGTATCATGATTCTAACACAAAGTATATTTATAGGTCGATGAAGCACGTACTTTGCTAAGATGTCTATGATATAGACAGAAATTAAATCATAAGCATTAAATTATTAGACTTTAAACATATTCTACAATTGTTATAGATGCGTAAGTTTGTAAGGACGGTTGTGTGGATGAATGGCCTCTCAGGGTTTTGCCAGTAGATGCCACGTTTAGCAGGTGGATTGGCAACCGCAGTTAGGCTTTAGAAATGCTTTAAGAAGGACGCTGCTGTCCTTCCTTAGTCGCCTTTTATGACACCTTACGGAAAAGAATGGGTTAGGGATAGAATAGTTTTGAGGTATACTACAGTAGAAAAAAAAAACAATCAAAATCACACTGTTTCATGAGTACACAGTGCAATTTAGATGCTTATTTAAAAAAGTAAACTATAAAAAAAATATAAATAGATAAACGCCGATTTGACGATCAAATCTACATTTATTCGTTAATAAAAAATTTTTTGCTCTATGTACCAGTAACCTATTGGCATATAATCTGTTGGGTTTTAGTAAAATTGTTAGGTGGGTTAATTACTAAAATATACAATGAAAAGACCAAACAATTTGTATTTCTATTTTCATCACAAACTCATATTCATAATATAACATTAATTGTATAGTAACTCAATGTTATTGGTTACATAAGCAATTTATAGCCTTAAATGTACTTATCTATATAATATTATATCTATTTGAAATTTAATTTACATTAATATAATTATTAAGATTAATTAGTTTTTAAAAATGTCACTGTGAAATTAATATTTGAAATATATAAATATTTGAAAATGGACCACATTTTTTGCAATATGGCAAATAAATAAAATTATTTGACATTATCAATATTAGTTTCGAAAAATTAAAATATATTTTTTTTCACATTATTTATATTTCTTAATATATAATATTAACGTGCCCAAATAATGTTTAGTAACAATATAATTATACTATGTATAATGTTACCGCTTATTTTATTTAATATTTACAGAGTTTTAGGGAACTATAATCCTCTATAGTATAGGCAGAGACAAGAATATAATATGAAAATTTCTTCACATATTATATATATATATATATATATATATATATATATATATATATATATATATATTTAAAATAATAAAAGTGAAATTTGATGTAACGTAGAGCATACGTTTGGCTGTGAGCTATCTGTGGTTTATTCACTGGCAGTATAGATAAAAAAAATATTGTTGCAGTCATTTTTTAAAAAGTCAAGTTTTTAACAGTATTATATATATTCATATACCATATACAATCATAGTATATATATTACTATATTCAAAAATATTTTTAGAGTGTCAAAACCATCACTTTAGAGGACAACAACGATTCACCCTAAAGCCTGCATATATGGTACTGTCTCAGTTGCATTAATATCAAAACAAAAATACGCTTACATTTTAAAAGACATGCGCGTCCAATTAACTGTAGAATCACATAATATTTATTACATTATAATATACCAGCCCTGCTGTCATATCTGATCCGCGAGATGCAATGCGATTGCACAATTATGACCATTATTCAATATTATAAAATAATTATCATAAAAATTAAAACATAAAAGGTATAAACATCAAAAATATTAGATATTTTCAACGAAAAATACAGTACTTCATATAAGTATCGCCACAATTACTTAATGATCGCTTTTATAAATTATCGTAGCGCAGCAAATTACACATCTCCAAACAATTGTATATATCTCGCTTGCCTTAAATACTATGACGATAAAATCGTATGATATCATGACGTGCTACAGTAAATTATCGTTCAATATTTTTAAATATCTGAATAATTAGGTAGGTAATTATATATTAGTAGTTTTTAGAAAACGACTGCTAATTAAAAATAATTCTATCTTCCTACCAAAAATATATTGATGCACCTAAAATTAATAATATGCGGTATAATTTACAAAATCAAAAATATCAATATAGATTAAAAATAGATTAATGTAGGAAGCATAATTTTTTTAGATGGTTCCATAGAATTGTGGAAATTTCTAATATAATAAACATGAAAATTTCCACAAAAAGTTAGGTAACGAATTTTTGCCGGGTATAGTAACGTTTGGTTTTCATACACCTTGTACATATTATATATATTTATGTATGTAAATGGAACATAAATCAACGTAAAATCATGTAGCACGTTGATTTCTATACCTCCGTTGTGAAATTGTGCATAATTTGTATCTGTCTCGAATATGTATTCAAGTTTGGTGATGAAGATTCGAAAGGTCAAAGATGATATTATTCAAACGTAACTAGGTAGGTACAGACAATGCATTATCCAACAGTTTATTTGTAGGGCAAGGTAGCTGATAGTTATTTAGAACATTACAATTTGAGTAACGATCGGCAGATATATTCTCTTCATATAGAGTTGAAAAGCCAACAGAATTTGACATGCTAATTATACAAGTCCTACTGATCCATTTTAGCAATCATGTCACAAATGGCGTTCTCTATAGACATCTTTAGATCACGCCCCGATACTATGTATGCGATGAACACTAAACACGTATGTTTTTATTTAGGATTTACACTTTAAATGTAGGTAATTATTTGTTAATATGTAGGACTTATTAAGAAAGCAGAAATTTAGGTTTTATACTATCGCAAAAAAAAAATTCAAGTATTAACCTACGTTTGTAGGTAATCTAGAATTTAAATTATAATTCTCGATTTGTTATATTATTTTTTTATTATTGTAGTAACACGCACGACAAGTGTATGTTTTATATTGATTAATTAATTGTTAACACAAATTTTGTCAGACCAAAAAATTGCTACTTTAGTTGGAGAAATTTGATATCCTCAACTTGGTATACTATATAAAATATACCTCTCTATACTCAGCGCGCAATGTTATTCAGTGTATTACGATAAACCATAGTATTTTTTTTGTATTTAATTAATTAATGCGTTAAATTTAATACACTTGGTTTGTTCCTTATACATTCAATCCTGTTTGGTATATCAACTATCGTAGCTTTTGTCGATATGTTATAGATATATATATGTTTGACACTTAACAATAATATCTCAACTTTGATACGTGCAACATTAGATTCGAATGAAATTTGACAAATTATACCTTACATAAGGTGTAGTTTGTAGAAACATCACAATACATTTCGATTTTCAGATCTACCACACAGCAGAATTCGGGCGGAGAATATTTAAAATTAAATTCCTTCTCAATTTTAATATTTATTTCAGATTACATAACGCATTATATCTAGTACAATATTAAATTACTAACAACATTTAGTGCACATAAATCGCATGTCATAACTGTAACTGTAGGGCAACGATTGCTAACTGCATTACTTGTGATTCTATAATAATGCTGTTAAGACTAATGCACGTATTCAGAAAAAAATGTCTCCTCACCTGCTGTGTCGTTCTTTGTTATTCGTACGATAAACTTAGACATAAAATGGAACTTATAAGATTTATGTCTTTAAGCGATTATAATATATATATAAGTTTTTTTTTCTTTTCACACTAAACAATTATAACTATTGTATGAAAGTACATGTGTTGGTGTAATAGTACGACAACTATTTCCTAAGTTTATTTCCAATAAAACATACACATGAATATAAACATACTTAAGCGCCTACGTATTCGAAAGCTTGATATTATTAACTACAATAATTATATTATTTGATCTAAGTACCTACAATAAGCATGAATTTGCTACCGAGATTGTGTATCTAATTATTGTTATACACATTACCTTACAACGATAGAATTCATCTCTAAATAAGCATCGATAATGAATTGTCTTTTTTTTTTTAAATAAATTTGTTAATAATAATTATATTTAAATAACTTAAAATACAGACAAACTACAGATACACAACTTTATAGCATAATATATGTAATATTCTCTGGTAAAAATAGAAAATAAAAAGAGATTATACATTTTTAAAATATAAATGTGATTCACTTGTTAATATAAAGTAAACAAAATAATATCACGTACAATATTATGTTCAAATTAACATGATCTATTGGAATATTTTATACCTGTTAATATTTCACTCAAATTTAATTTTATAATTTAATATTGAGCAGCCTTTTCCATGTTTCTACATAATATATAATTTTAAACGGTTATTTATAATTACAACATGTTATATATTAATTTACAATATTTATAATTTTGATATATTCAATACAATATAATAAATAAATTGTGCTAATATACGTGGAACAGAAACGGAAAGACGATTTATTTCAAATACATTTGTTTTATACACTTGAGATTTTTTAGTATATAGTAACACTATTTTTTTTTGTTTTTTGTTAGTGTATAGTGTAAATAAGATCCGGATATTAGTGAACTGCGAAATTATACGAACACTATATATAATACAATTAAAAAACATATTCTATTAATACTTATAATGTCGTAATAATTTATAATAAACTCTACACCTACTCATCAAACTCTGAAAAACTCAAAAGAAACATTTGAAAAATGAATGTGCGTATAATTTGCAGTCGACTACAAATTAAAGTCTTTGTTTATTGTAGTAGTGACGATTCCATCGATGAATTCGCTTGTCACTTGTCTAAATTAGTGAATTTATACAAGTGACAAGCGAAGTTATCGATGGAATCGATATCGCTAGCGACTCAATGAGTTTAAATGACACGTCTAACGTTGCTATCTTATTCTATCCCACGGAATCGCTAGCAATGTCGATTCCATTGGTGAATTCTCTTGCCATGTCAGATGTGCTTTACAGAATATCTGACAAAAAGACAATTTCCGAATCTTGAAACGTTAACTATTTTATTGTCGTGCGTTCTATTTCTGAATGTATATGTGATAGTCATATTTTACTTTAATTTAATTAAATTATGGGGATTATTTTTATTTCCTGTATATGTTCCAAGTTGTTAAATATATATATCTATCAATTATTTTGTACAATACTAAACAAAGAAGTGATCAATACCGGATCAAATATAACACAAAGGTGCTTAATTATGAATAGAACAGTAATAAACACAGGTGTTTTAATAAGATCTACAATTGTTTCAACTGGTTGACTGATTCATTGGCAATAGTTAGGTTTGACATCTAACATGAATAAATTAGTGAAAAATAAGTGAATATAATGAAAATGACACATATTTGTATTATTTTCATTAAGTCTTTCTATCCATCCTTCATCAAGTACGTCGGGTGCAAAGCTAAAACGTACTGACTTTATTTATCGGAATTTAAATAAAATATTAGACACTTTATCTAAGTATTTTCATAAGGATATCCCAACAAAAGTCTACATTTGACAGAAGTATGAATGAAAACTTGTTCATTAGATCAAATACGAAATAGGGACACGACAAACTGTTGTGCAATATTTGTACTTGCAAAGTTCGCCCAAATCGACGTTAATTACTTAACTATTGAATACATAAATAGTCCTAATTAAATTCGAGATTACACATTAAATTCCTGTTCACATCAATGTTTTGTACCTACGAGAATGTGGTATTATAATAGATATATGGCAAATTGTTTGAAGCGCCACTAGGCGCTACACCGTCACGCTATTGACGAATCGTGGGGCGAAGTTACACTGTCACGGGAGTGCGACAGATGACGCGGCTGTAGGTGGTGATCGAGCCTGCTTTTATGGATGCTCTAACCTACCGCGTATGATTTTTACAAGTGCGTTATAACAATTTCGTCGTCAATTTCGTCTTTTTCGTCATCTTCTTCGGGCGGTTGTTTAGCGGCTTCCGCTGCAATGGCTGGATCCTCAGCGATGGCTTTGAGCCGGTGAGCCTGATTAATGAGATAAGCGAATGAAGAAAATATCTTTATTGTTCTCCTTAAAGAAATTGCAGTATATAGAGGAATGACTTAGTCCACAGGAATGGCAACGCATGAGGGGTATCATAGAGGACACAGTATACCCTGTTATGTTCATATTATGGGACTATTCATATTTATAGGCGACGGTTATCACTTTCCATCAGGTGGGCCGTCAGCTTGTTTGTCATTCTAAGTTGCATAAAAAATATATAATTACGAAAAAATATACCTATAAATACATAAAGAAAATGTTAGCATTTATTTAAAAAAAGTCGAAATACATTTATTTTAGAGTCTTATGTACGTTGTGTGCTTATGTATATAGTTTTTGCAATTCGGAAAGAAATTAGTTGCTAAGAATGGGATTTGTTGTTTTTTTTTTTTAATAAAATGGATAATGATATTATAAAATGATTATCTATTCATATTTATTGACTAATCAAGATGTTATCAATCCTTAGGAGGAAAATCCTCCGCTTCTTCTTTATCCTAAATGCAGCATAGTATTCTATTCTATTCTATTCTGGTAGGTATGTTTACATAGGAACTTACGATGCAATATTAAGGATTAACTCCAATATCTGTACATTAGCTGATAAAGATCTGCGATTTTCAGATTATCTGTATTTATCAATAAAGTTGAAATAATAAAATAAATAAAGCCGAAATACTGACTAATCAATAGAAATATCTAGAACCATCAAAACTACTAATTTGAAATATTCCAAATAAATTCCATCTCATCATTACATCACAAAGAATCCATCAAAAAGTTAATGTATTTAAAAATTAATATAGTTATTTTTTTTCAAACATGGCAAATTTATAAATTTACAAACGAAGAATTGAAACTGCTAATTATAATTCCACATTTTTGCTCTCAATAAAACAAAAGGCGTTTTGTATTCTTATGCATCACAATGAAATAACTGTGTTATGTAGCATGTATACATCATTTCAACTGTTAATTGTCCACTGTTGAACATAGACTAACCTTATAGACTAATACAAGGAATAACTTCGAGTCATATGCATCCATTGATGCCCTGTAACATACTCCAGCCGTCGCTCTGTATAATGAGGGTAGCTACAACCTACGCTGTTTGTTTACGTAAGTTCATCACTCGAATACCCTTAGAGAAGTTAAATAGTTTTATAAGTGTTCGAATAATAAAGTAATGAAGATGAAACACTAACCTTTCTCTTGTGCAATATTTCCACAATAATGTATCCGAGGAATCCAACTAGAAGTACCACCATCATGACGTACAGTTTCATCCTGGCACACAAGTGGGTAGAATAAGCATACGCGACCACGAAGCCGGCACTCTCCCAAAGTCTGTAGTTGGAAAAGGCGGCCTCTTTGTTGCGCCTGAACAGAACTCCGTACAAGCCTGGAAAATAAAAAAGAGTATGTTGTATAAAATGAGAGCTTTATGGCTCTTTGGTATTAGCACAAACCAATGTTTTTTATCCCAAGGATGTTGAAAAAGAAAACTAAGGGCATAAATATATATTTTGAAATAGCTATTATTATTTGTCCCCATCAATTTATAATTTCTATCGGACATTCAAAGATTGATTGTCAGGAATTTCTTTTATAGGATAAGTCTATTGTACTGATTCGTTTCATAAGAACTCTGTATCATATAATTTAAGATATACTGTATAATAAAGTATAATAAATAAACAAATTAACATCAATGTAAAAAGAGGATAACTCATTAAAACCGTATATTATGCTGCTTGGAGAGCAAGACTATATTTGTTTTACGGAAAGAAATTCATGCTCAGAAGTAGAACATGGGTTATTAAGGTAAATTTTGTTGCCGCTGCCTTATATTTTTTGTTATACGTGACTTTGTCTATGGTTTCAACGGAGACCACCATATCTAAGGAAGACGAATAACTAAATTCACTTGACACCAGAAGGGGCTGATCTTGCACGAGCAGTAATTTAAGCGAGGTATAATATTGCCTTTTCAAAATAATAAGTTATGAATTGATTGCAATTTAGATGATATAGATAGAGCATCGAGACTCAAAAATGGATAAATTTTTTGTAATATATATATATATATACATACATATATAGTATATAGCCTATGGGATAGCACAATGCATATATATAGCATAGCATAATGTGGCTTTCTATATATGAAAGAATTTTTAAAAACCAGTTAAGTTGTTTTTGAGTTTATCCATTACAACCTAATAAACAAACGTATAAAAAATCAAATATTTCTTGTTTGTAATATCAGTACAGATATATTAAAGTCACGTTCGTAATGAGATGCCACGAGCACGAGTAATACAATACAATAGACATATATAGATAGGCAAAGTAACGGTAACCTCTTATAATAATAATTCTATAGATATATGCGTAAGTCGCACTAGGAATATTCACTTCGCGGTTATTTTTTACACGGTTTCATACCTACGCGGATTAATCGCGTAAGTATGCGGAACTATTTTCACGCAGTTATATTCCGCGAGTGCACGCGTTAGTTTCATCAATTTTCATAATGTTACAAAATTCGAAGTAAATATCGCGCGATAATTGCACGTAAAATAATAACACGATATTGAGAAAGCTGAAAAGCGCGGAACATTTGGATTTAGAATAGATTCCCTCTTTATCTATGACGTAATATGCTTAGATAGAGACATCTATTGCTGTTGCATTATTTAAGTTAAATTGATAAATAAATAAAAAGGAGGAAAAAACTATTATTGATTTGTTAGATTACTGTTGCTATTATTAATATTCAATGAATAATTCTCAAACACGGTATCAAGATTGATGTAGATAGTTCTACAAGAGTTAGAACGATGGTATAAGACTCGTGGCGTACAACAGTTTCATTGACCCAATAGGGGAAAAATGAAATAGATATAAGTGTAGGAGTATAGGTACTGACATAAAATAGGATTGACATATAGTTACTTGGCCTGTGACCATATGCTTATTTATATTCTCTCTTCAAGGTCTTCTTCATCCCCTTACGGGGATGCAGGTGCGGGCTTCGAGCAGATGTTCTTTGCCCGGGAATCGACTACGCAGGCTGCCTGCGTGTCACTATTTTTGGGTCTGGCGGGCTGAACTGGTACTATTGTAAATTAGTACCGGCTATTACTTATACCCGCAATTACTATCTTCAATCTTTATTAACATCATGCCGTACAGAGAACTTGTTTTACTCCATGAAAGCTTTACATTTTGCCGTTAAGGGTGTTGCTATTAAAACATTACTTTGTCTATAGGCCAATATACAAACACTTATACAAATGCAATAAACGCGTAGCAATACTGGCGGTGGGATTGTAATTAATTCGTTCTCGCGATTTCTTCGCTTTGATAAACACGAACTATGATGATAATACTGCTTGTTACATGTAATGGAGTGGATTGCACGATTACTAATACCAATTATTTATAAATCTAGATGGTAGGAAGCAATGGAAACGTATGTCCTCCTGACACGTGATCTTTGTCATAATGATTTTCATTCAATAATGCTTTATCTATTCAATTTTTTTATTACTGATTCTTATAGGATCTTTAAAGGACAAAGAGCTGACGTCCTTACTAATGTAAGTAGTAAGTAGTAGACATGATGTATTACTATTCCTGAGGATTAGGACGTTATGCTTCTGAATATAGAATTTTGACTGTTATATTTATTGAAATAAAATACTTTTATGTAAACAGAACTGCTTAGCAACAAAAATCGAATGGTCTTTGAAGAGGGCGTCATATCTAATACTAATCACATTGTACCTTAGTTTTAAGGAATCGCAGGGCGTGAACATGTCATAGATCATATTATATCAGCCGTTAATTGCTGAACATAGTCCTTCCTCATAAGCATAGTTTTGCCTGTAGTTAGCACGTTTGGCAAGCGGGTTAACAAGAAGTATGAGTATGGTGATGTTTTAAGTGGGAAACTGCCGCCCATTTCTCGATCTTCGTCTCTTTAGTTGCCTCTTACGACATCTACGGGAAAGGAAGAGGCGATCCATTATATGCTGGAACCCCGCGGCTATATCATCATATCACTATATTACCATTGTTCATAGAGTATTGTTTATCTTTTAATATTTTATTATATGTAACAATGTTTTCGTCTGAAATGGCATCAGCTCAGCATTCTTGACTATATTCAAGAGTATAAAATAAGACTAAATAAACAACTACAAAGAATATAAAAAATGTTGATGATTTCATGATAATTGTCGGTTTGATTTTATCAATATTTATGTTTTCATAAGCATGTTTCTTTGTATAGGCGCTTTCTTTGTATTCTTTTAGTATATAGCATATACTTAATACGTACTGCCGTGCGGTCCTCGCATAGAATAGGCCAACCCTTCCTTTCTCGTGGGTGTTGTAAGAGGCGACTAAGGGAACTTTGTTAAGTTCCCTTAGTCCATTTTAAGAGGACGCTGCTGCCGGTACTGTTGTACCGGCAGCAGCGTCCTCTTAAAATATCTCTAAAAGCTTAACTACGTTTGCTAACCCGTCTGCTAAGCGTGACAACTACTAGCTAAAGTCCCTTATGGGAAAGGCTTATGTTTAGCAGTGGACAGTAGTGACTAAAATAATGAAAGATAATAGCGTATACTTAATTTAGTGTCATAATGTGTATATTTATAAATATATATTTAATATTTATGTTCATGAGTCTTTTAGTATTTTTTTTTGATGGGTGAAAATGGTATGGTAACCCTGCCTGCGCTAACGGTATACGCTGGCGGAGCACCAGTGAAGGGCGATAGTTGAGAATGAAAACAGGCCAATTAGCCCATCATGATGAATTCTTCAGGAATTAACCATGATAGTTTCTAGGGAGAACAGCGAGGAGGTCGATCTGGTTGGGTATATTGCTAGCAATAGGATTCTCAGTCTCCATTACTAACAATCCCTTTCCTCCCAGTCTTTTAGTATTCATAGTACAACCTTACTAGATGTCGCTGCGTATAGTTATTTAACTGTTACTATAGATTGGAAGGTAAGGGTAAAGAGGGATGAAGTATGTATTATTCGGTAATTACTTTCAAGATACAAATACTAGTATTTGGACAATAATGATATAATTTTAGTTTTATAGATCAGTGGTCAATCACAAAAAGGCACATAACTCTTGCACCGATAAACAAGGAATTTTATCAGTACATAACTCTCAACTTGGTAATTAGTTACTGTGCTGAATCCAATGTCGTTGTGTTGTAAAACACTACAGTAAATGACATTTTAAGTGCTGTAGTGATTAATATAATTCATAGATTTAGAACTTAGGCTATACAGATGGAGTGTTGAGTGTCAAAAACAGGTCGACATTTAATTAGCTGTCAAATGAACTGACTTGCTTTTTCAATAGTGTTCTATACAATGAAGATTTAATGCCATTATTTAGTTTCATAAGTATTTGGAAAAAATTCTTATAATGCAATCGAAATTATCCCTAATTTTGATTTTTTTACCAGTATGGTTCCTTTATAAACATCACTAAAGTCTAACTGCGGTTGTCAACCTGTCTACCAGAGGAGGGAAAGGGATTGTTAGTAATGGGCTCTAATAGCCTCATTACTGGCAATATACCCTCTCAGGTTGACCTCCACGCGGTTCCCTCTGGAAACCATCATGTTTAATTCTTGTCAAATTCATCATGGTGGGCTAACTAACCTGCATTCATTCTCACCTATCATCTTCCACTGGTGCCTCGTCGGTGTATACCAATAGTGCGGACGGGGTTACCAATCCATTTTCATCCATTAAAAAAAAAACCGCCAACCAAGCATGACAACTGGGGACGCTATGTTGAGCAGTGAACGCCTTATATGATAATCTTGTCTTATCTATATTCATTATTGTATTATTTTCAATACATTTATTTAACATATTCTATCAATGCTATTTTTCCTTATGAATGTAATATTTATATAGGTATGTTCGTATTGCAGTTATTATCTAAAATACAGACTGTTTAATATTAATATTAAATTTGCACAATTATTTGAAATATTTATAAAACGGCCTCTATTTTTAAGCGAATTCAAAAAGAGTGTTCTCTGTACATAATTTCTATTTGCTGCATTCTTTAGAATATAATAATAAAATAATAATATTTAAATATATAAATAAACATTATAGAGAATTAGATAAATAACAAACATGATATTATAACCTTTACCCACTTACCTAAATTTAAAATAATAATTTTTAATCTAGTAACCCAAATCAGAACATTCACAATGAGTAAAAAAGGTGACCTACTTTTGATACAGCATGTCTATTTGTCTGTACGTTTGTCAATTGTCAATTGTTGACACATTGAAAAGTACGTTTGTAATTTTTCAGTGTATGTAGACATACATCATTTGTATGAAGACACTCTACATATAAATTAAGATTTAGAAATAACCTTTTTGTAACAGTGCCCCTGCTCTATTTATGAATTGGTAGAAACTTAATTTAAAATGGAGATAATTGTGATAGGATTCATAATGTGTGCCAGAAACCTCATTACTAGGATAATTTGACATATAGGGATATAGGTACTTTTCAGGTCATCCTCCACACAGTTTATCTTGGAAACAATCGTGGTTAATTCCTGACCTGACTTTATTCTACCTGTGTAGAGAGAAAAAGGCACCGAGTGTGCGCAAGGGATACAACAATAATATTATTTAAATTGTGCCTATTACCTACTATTAAATTTAAACTTTTAGGTTAAACTTGATTAAATTATTTAACCATATGTTGTGAAATGACAAGTTAAATAAAGAGTAATATTTGTAACCTTTTAACTCATAACAATATAAAAAACCTGTCATCACAACGTCAAACTGCCAATCCGACTACGTACTGTTTATGGTAAAATGAAATACTAAATGCAAAACTAATGTGTTACTAAACATTTATATATAATTTATGAATTATTATGACATATGTATTTATGAGTATAACAATATATAACTTTGTGAATTCTGAAGTTTCAAATTGTTTTAGCACCTGTATTACGTGCTTTTTAAAAATATTTTTAAAAATTAATAAATAATATCTTACGATGTTTTCACATAAAAATATAATATGATGTACAAAAACTACATTCAATGTTGAGTTTAATAACCCCACCCTTATTGATAATTGAGTTACCTAGATTAATAGTTATCTATTTCGATCAAGGTAACTAAAGCTAAAGTATGTAGATTTTATCTATGTATCTATTTATTAAATATAAATTTTTATGTCTTTTATTGGTACGGTGGAATTAAAAACAAATGTTTGAAATAGAGAAGGCATATTTTGCTTTTAGAGAAAGGAAAAAGTGAAAATTTATATCACACGTTAATTATTAACTATTAATTAATTATAACATACAACATATAATATATATAATCGTAATATTTATCATTATCATTTACATATATTAAGAAAATAATTGTTACTGAATGAAATTGCATATAATATTTTTTCTTTTCTTTATAATGGAAAATAAAAGGCTTTTTTATTTTATTTTATATATTTTATTAATATTTATCAAGGGTCATATATATAAAAGAGGACGGTAATTGATTGACTGACTGATATATAATTATATCAATGCACAAACTACTCGAAACTACTGAATTTAGAATCTAGAAATTTTGCAAATAGGTTCTTTATATAGTGTGAAAGGAATTTTGAAATTTAATTCCTAATGAGGGATATATAATAATAACAAAGGATTGAAAGTTTGTATGGACATTTGTCAGTTTAGATGTTAGATACGTGAAATTTTAGATATAAGCTCTAATTTTTATTTATTAAGATTTACTTTACTGAGTGGGTCGAGTTGGATATTAAGGCGCTGATCATCAATGATTCGAGACGCCCGACTTCGAATGCGGTCCAACGGAAGGAGCTGGTACTGCGGCGCTCCTGTCCGGTTAGAACAATATTCCGTATGTGGCCTGACTAGAGCTTTATACGATTTTAAGCTGGTCACATTCGATCAAAGGTTTTCAAAATATCCAGACTAATAACTAAACTTAAATTTGTACTAATCTGCTAGTAGAAGGACAATATTTATGACGACACTAGTTCCCAACATATTAAATAAGAGAGTATCTTTCATTGCATTGAATTCTAATATTTATTTAGGCCTTACATAGTATTGTGTGTACTATAACTTTATTCTCAAATTGTATCATTTGAGTGCCTATTATTAATGAATTAGAATTAAAAGAAATTAAGATTGACAATTAAATTTACATTTAATCTAAACGGTACATTAGCGTGCAAGTAACAGTCTATTATTAACTAATGTTACAATACATTAGTGCTATTTATCTTAATATATGATTCTATATTATTATGGTATTGTTCAAATAAATAAATAAATATAAAAAAAATTGACAATATCGTGTTCGTCGCTTGTAATAAATTTAATAAAGTTAATTGGAACTTGGGCCGGCTGGATAAAATATACTTTTAACTGATTTTTGTATCCTTCAAACGGAAACAGATTTGAATTACATATACATAAAAATTAGATCAGCAAACGAAGAAAAATCTCATAAAATTATAATCTTTGTGCAAAAATGAGTTTATTTTGTTTTTTAAAGAAAATATACATTTAATATAATAGTTATTGTTGTTGTTACGATTATCATTTCCATAGTTTGGGTAGTGTTCAAAAATCAAAGTTGCTAAAGGAATTTTACATTTTCTCAATAATTGTGTAGTTCGATATATCGATTTTTTCTTCTATTATTATAGGAATATTATATGTAGAAATATTTTCCTACATACCCACAAATTATTAATAAATTGATATTAAAAACTGGGTTTATGGCATCTTACTGAATCCCTTAGGACCATAGAGAACTCGAACATTACAGTTCCTGTGGAAAAAGGTATAAAGAATTAGGTATTAAAAATAATACTTACCGTTAATTTGCGTTTGCCACACAGCATCTCCTACACCCCACAGGCCTGAGATCACGAAGAATACAGTTGGTGAATTAGGGTTCGGCATCCAAATCAAGAGCCAAACGATCAGTCCCAAGTGTAGAGCTGCTCCCATTACTAGTATAGGGAATCTGCCGATGTACTTCATCGCAGATCCAAATACTAGAGAGCACACAGCATTCACTACTCCGAAGCAAATCATTACATATCCGATGGATCTGATGCCCAACGCGCACGAAACATACGCCTGAAACAAAATGATGAGATAAGAATTGAAGAAAGTATTAAAACTTTTTGTTGGGACAGTCTTGAAAATTAATCATTAAGTAAGACGATTGAATTTTAAATATTTTTGAAACACATTTATTGATTTTTTTATTTCACTCTTGCATTCGGAAGGTTGAAGAAGTGTTTTCAAATGTGACAAACGTTAATTACGCAATGCAAATAATTATGTATTGAATTTTACAGATTTAGGATTGTACGTGAATGTTAGTTCAATAGTAAATCCATCACAGTTTGTAAATATCTATGATAAACTCAATATAGGGAAGTATCAAATTAGGTAAGCTTAAAAAATGCCTCCCTCCAAATTTGATGTATTTTCACACCTACAGGTATTTTTATCGTCCAGTAAAGAAGAATAATAAATGGTTATAGTAATTGAGGCTCTCAAAATACATTTACAAAAGTATGTAAAAAGAATAGCAAGCAAAAAGATAGAGTATTTAATTGGTGAAGGAGATACGAAAATCATGGGGTTTGTATTTTTTGTAAGATTATTGGCATCCCGATCACATCATCACATCCTGATCATTGTGGTAAGCGGGACTGAAATGTATCGTTCGGATCGTAATCGTCTTGAGAAGAAAATAGTTTGCTACAAGCTGATATAACCGTTTCATAACAATAGCTTCATTTAGCTATGTATGTTGTAGCGGTACTAGATCATTTAAGAAAGATTGATTTTTTTTTATCAACTATCACTGTTTTTATGGTTCCTCGCGCATTATTGAGAGACCGTCTTCAATATTGAAACAATTGTTCAAAAAGAATGACTGTGTTTGATGTGTCATGTAACCACCAATACCATTTTGTGTGGGTTTTCCTAAGGTGGTTTTTACTCGTAGAGCGAAGTTATTAATTAGTCGTTACATATAATAAATGCGTTGACCACTATAATATTTTTTTTTCCTTTATTATTTCTACGATTTATAATCAGGTCATGATTATTTTTTATTTACCTGTGTATAGTCTGCTCCGATGAAGGCTTGTTCCATGCCAATCCAAAGAGTAATGGGGATAAGAAGTTGCTGGTTAGGTTTCTTTAGCTGATAAGCTGTGGCAGAAAGTAGTTGAATACCGGTTACTTCTTTTGATGGATCTGCCTTCCTCTGTTTTTCACCATACCTGTATTAGAAAAAAAAACATATAGCTATATATTTAATATTTAACTAATTCCAGTTATAGTCTAGGTCCTGACACAGAATGGGCCACTCCTTTCTTTACCGTAGATGTCATCTCTTACGATGATTACGGGAAGTTATTAATCAAGGGATGGACAGCAACGCCCCTTTTAAAACATAACTATAGCATAATCGCGGTTGTCAACCTGTCTACCGAGTATAGCAACTACTGGCGAAACCCTCCTTATGGAGGACTATGTTTAGCAATGGATAGTTAATATTTTATTTGTATGAATGCATGAATAGTGATAAGTTGGCTGGATCAATTCTTGGATGCCTCGGCATTGTCGTTGTGATCTGGGAGGTATATCGTCAGGTCGTTTAGCCGGTAGGAGTCCGGCAGTACCCACACGGGCCCTAAACTGTGTGGGTCTGCATGATGCATTTTTCCTGACGTAAAAAAAAGGCTGGATCAATTCTATAATACCAATTTCGGTTCGTAAACAGTTCAAAATTAATCGTGTAATCAATTAACATTATTAATAATTATAAAGAATTAATTCTTTTATTTATCACCCTGTCGAATAATGTAATTATGGTGATTGCTAAATGTGACTTTCCCATGTTTTCTGAATATATTACAAATTTTATGTGACAGATGTTAAATCTTCCTCTGTGTGATCATAGAGTAAGAATCCAATAAGTGATACTCTGGCTTTTCATCCCAAGGATCTTGTAAACAAAGATTTCGAAATAGAATAGATGGAATGCATAATTCACATATTGTGTTGCTTGTTGTATTTATAACATTGCTAATGCATTAGACAGGAATAAACATTTAAATACTCATTTGCCTTTTGAATAGTCCATCGAAGTCAAATTCATCAAGATATGTCACACTTGGTTTTAGGTTGTAAGTGCAAAAACGCTATATCATACAACTGTGCAAGAGGAATAAACCTTGAAATAAACCCTACAGCAAACCGCTTGATCAGCGTGGTAATAGGAGATTCATATCACGGATCAGTGATTATGGTATGGTATTGTATGGTAAGTATATGACGTAATGTTTTTTTTTTCATAAATAATTATGATAAATTCGCCGGCAACTGAGACATCTGTGATAACAATCGCGAGCATGTTTTTGCACAAGTTCTGGGTCCGACAGCTCAGTCTGTTAGGTGGTAAACCATTCAACCGGAACCACCGATGTAACTTAAAAAGGCAATGACATGACATCGACTGGGATTCACGAGTTCCGACAAAAAACGGCATCGGCTTCAAAGCCTGGCAAAATATCAATCAAACTAACAAATGGCATATACAAAGCAAAAACTGGAAGATACTCGCGTCTAAATTGGATTTGGGTACCGGCGCATGACGGTAATTTAGTGAGGACATCAATTACATTCATGTGTATTTTCCATACTGTTATTTTGACGTTAACGGGGGATTTTTTTTCACTACCGATAATGGCAAACAATGCAATTATAGAGTATGGAGGCATAATACCTTAGTTCTTAGGAATGACGACCAATGAGGGTACCATAGGCATCACAGTAGGTATACTCTATATTGTTGTACTCCATAGTGTTGTACATGCTTATAGGTAATGGTTAGGATTTACATCAGGTATGTTGCAAACTTGTTTACTATTTTATTTTACATAAAGGAGCAGGTAATGGACTACCTGAAGAAAAGCGACAATCGTTGATTTCATAACATAAATTCACCATATTATACTACCTTCGCGTAAATACATTTTAACGCCCTTTCTCATGCATCATATTGTTGAGGTTAATATATAAGGTAAGAAGTTCTTAATTTTATGATATTAATTGTACGTATACTCTGTACAGAGTTAGAGGTTGCAGCATACTAATGGTAGGAATGGTAACTAAACAAGATAACACTAATCCAGTAACTACTGATTACATTCATAGCACCTATTGTGATTTCTAATGATTACGTCTCTCGTATATACTGGCCTCTTTTTTTACTTTACTATGTACAACTTTATTGACACTTTTTACAAAAGACGGAATTATCACCATCTTTTTAAGAAAGTGTTCTACTATTAATATTGAATATTTTTCCTAAATTTAATTTCAAATATGACAAATAACCTAAAGTATTCTGTATCAATACTAATTTGATAGCAGAACAGAAGGAGTCCACTTCTTTGTACTTTAATGCTAACATTTTTGGACATAAGTTTCTTAGAAAAAGTATATTGATTTCAATTATATTTTAAATTAATAACTATGTCCTCAGAAATGGCAATGCATGTAGGGTATCATGAGTGCCAAGATATAGTCTGTTATGTTCATAGTTACTGTTCATATCTATAGGCGACAGTTACCACTTTCCATTAGGTAGGCCGTGACCGTCAGTTTGTTAGCCATTCCAAGTTACAAAAGTTGCATAAATTGGTAAGACACTGTATTAAAAGCGTGAAAATAGTTTCGATTTCTGCAACTTGTATATTGTATACCTTTACTTGCCAACCTTCAGAAAAATATAAATGTAATGAGTGTATGCTGTATGTGACAATGTCACCTATTCAGACATGTGATACAATATTCCAAAAGACTTTTTTTATACAAAACAGTTGGCAAACAAGCATACGGTCTACTTGACGATAAGTGGTCACCGTAGCCTATGAACGCCTGCAATACCAGAGGTATTACGCGCGCGTTGCCACCCTTTAAGAAACATTTAACTCCTTTTTTAGGGTAGAACCCTATTATCTAATCTATCTTTAAAGATCCATTAATTAATATAACAATACAAAATAAATACAGTTCACATACCTTGATAGGGGATCCACTAGTAGAGCGACCATAAGCACGGCAACTACAACGCATGCGAGATATATGGCACTGATCTCGTATATCTCACTATCTGGAGGCCTGTGTAGGTTCTGGTTGTCGTGGTGTCCACCACCGATCACGCAGAAGTTGGCTCCACATTTGAGCAGAGCGTGACTTGTGTTGTCTGTAGACGTGTTCCCGCTGTGCACTCCCGAGGAGAACACTATTGAAATATATATCACGTGTTAGTTGATGCCTAAAGAAAGGGGATCCTGGAGTAAGTCTATTATCCCCTAGTATACAAAATATTCGTATTAAATTACGTACTGAGAAACAGGTGGTTAATAATAAAAGTAGACTATTGAAAAACATTACGTTGGACATTTGAAAACAAAAGAATAGTTTAGTTATAAGACGTAAAATTACAATGAGTAGCAAGAATTCCAACAACAAGACTTTGCGTAATTTAATTTTTTACATACATTAACTGAAGATTTTAGTCTTAATTAATGCCAATTAAAGATGCTATTATTTTTCCATTTACTCACTGTAAAAAGTTAGTATTGAAAAAAGACGATACATTTTGAATTACGTGATCACAACCACCCTATACATCTTTAATAGATTTTAAAATTCCCTAAAAAATTAATAATAAAAATCAACTCACCTAAACTAGAGATTAAGTTTCCCCAAAGCTCAGCAGTCTGCCAAGCAAGGAAGAAGAATCCGAAGAATCGCACAATGATGCCATCCACGGCTTGATCAGTTAACTTAGCGTATACACTTCCAGCTTGCGTTAGATACGTCGCCTTCGAGGTCCACATAGGCGCCGCCCCGAGACCAACCACTACTCCAGCGGGTACGAGCGTATAAAACGCTGGATAAAATTGTGCAGCTATGTATGGCGCGTAGCACATCATAGATAGACATAGTGTCCATTTGACTGTCAACCTTTTAATGAGGAATGTAGGGACGAACATACAAGAAAGAACAAGTGCCGCGTAAATCGAACTAAGCGAGACAGTACCGAGGCCGTCGGCTGCGTTTATCGAAGACTGAAGATTGGCTGTCCCCTGGAACGCGGTGAATTGCACCATGAAGGCTGCACTCACCGCGGCCACGTTCTTTAATATTCTCCATTTCTCGTTTCTCGATAGCTTTACTTTGCCTGTGGGGTAATTGTCCTCCTCTGTGGGTAGTGGTGGTGGTTTGACAATATCATCATTCGAGTCCCGGTCGTGTTGGTACGCATCGTTCTTGAATCCTGTCTTAATTGTGTATACAGAGTCTTTGTCCGGACGATCATCTTCTCGTCCGCCACCGTGCGTAGCAGTCATGCCGTGTTACCTCCTTTTGTCCTGGAAGAGAAATACAAATTAGATATTACAGTTACTAAACAGTGCCTTTAAAAATAAAGGTCAATGACTGAAGAAAAGCCCGTTTAAATTCATTTTAGGTACTTCTTACTTGAATACCTACAAAATTAGTATGCCGGTCGTATTGCATGTTTGATTATATAGTTTTCTGATTTGCAGTGAATATTTTTTCGCTTGAATATTTTACGTTGGTATGTTAGATATCTTTGATAACTATCTATAATAAATATATACCTATTTTGCTAAATACAATACTTTTATAACTGATTTCTTCATTTATACTTTCAGTTGTTAATAAAAAGGAAAGATGTGATTGTTTGTTTATAATGGATAAACTCAAAATCTATTTAGCCGATTTTTTTTTCATTTATAGCAACATAGGTATATTATCAGCCAGTATATATAATTCGCTGATAATGGCTATATATTATTTTCGAAAATTCTATCTACTCATGCGGAACCGTGCCGAATTGCTGGTATTTATAATTGTTTTTTTTTTCGGTTTTAAACTTATGCCTTTTCTTATTAAGATTGAAGGTGGAACACAAACCATCACTCGCGTCTATGCTGACATTCAATGATGTAACATACTCGCAATAGTTTCTATTATAACTAATTAGCATAACTGTCACGTGTATGCATAATTTGGATTTAGCATTTAGTTAAAAAACAAAGTTTAATGGAAAATAATTTTAGCCACCACTAGCTAGATTGGTATTTATTCCAAGAAACCGATACAAAGCAATTTGCTTCAATAACACTTTCAGTAGAAACTTTGTAGAGTCACAGGTTTTTAATGTACTTCAAGAAATATTCTTTAAATTCCATGGGAATTAAATAGACAGGGTGGAGGTGTGACCTAAAGGTCTGCTATCGATATGAAACCAATCTATTGCCAATGACAATTTTGTATCGCACTCATAAAATACTAATATTTTGTTTAAAATAGTTTGCACTAACAAGTTACTTTAAAACGCATCCATCAGAACGTTATGGAACAATTATGTCGCTAGTATTGTAATTCAAGAGTACGAGACGTTTCAATTCCAATATCGATCTATTGGAATTCACTTCTAGAGTATCCCCGCCTATAAAGTGTATTGTTTACAATTGGATAGTTCTCTCCTTACTAGCAAGCTCTTCGTTCTTATTTAAATATTATTGGAATACATTTAATACACTAGCATTAAAGTTGTTGCTATAAGTATAGTACTTTTAATACGTTCACATGGGTAATAGGATTAGATGGGTAACACACGACTGTTATCAATACCGAGGAAGTTATGTGATATACAATTTGATTCGCATTGTAAGTCACAATGGTTGTCATCGACTGAGTACTTATTATAGCTATTGTTCAGCACCACGGTGCCAGAAGCCACGTTTCACCACAATATAATCATCATGTTGACGTTAATGTACAAAATAGTTAAAAATATTAACATCACTGGCGGCAGCTGTTAGTTCTGCGAGTGACGCTTCATAAGTTCTTCGTATTTTATAGTTTCAAATAATATTATGATATTACTATTAAGATTCTTGGTTTGTTATTTTTTGCAATATAATATAAGATAGACAAAGTTGCCATTGCTGAGTAGATATAAGCTACGTTTTACTATATTTCAGATAATTATGAATATTTATGAAAAGATATTTTAAAAAATTTGCGAAGACTATGTCGGGTAATTATTCAACAGACATTGTTAATTAAGATTATAAAAAAAATATAATCACTAAGATTAGAGTATCGTAAAAAATACTTGCAAGAATTCGTGGACAGTTGTAAAAATGTAGATTTTCGAGTTATGAAAATATGTTTTGGTAATTACGCGATTTCAAAAGAAGAAGGTTGAATTTTTTGTGGTTATGTTTATATATACTTCGTTATTTTAATTTTAATAATTACTTTATAATCAATTAGCGATCCGCCCCGGCTTCACATGGATAGATAAATTAGTATTTTATATTAGCTCTAATAAAACATCACTAATCGTTTTTCGGTCTACTTAATTTAGTTCACTAAAATAGCTAATTATTGAGGGTGAAAATTTTTTTTCCGGAAAGTTTTTCTTTTCTGTCATGTATTTATATGAAGTGTGTAACAGACGCTGTGTACAATTGTGTAGATACCAAAGCCGAGGTCGCGATACTTGACGCCTGTTTTTCCATTATAATGACACATTAAAGACAAACATCACAACATCATTCATTCAGCAAAGAATAGGTGTTTAAAACTGAGACTAATTCATAATAAACCAGATAATGCTTATTAATACGAAAGTATGTTTGTCTCTTGGAAATGTATTGCTAGAAAAGCTAGTTTGCAGTTATAAAGTTTATCAAAGATTTTCGAGGGTTTCATGAATGTCGTGTGCGCGTGAATATCTGCTACCAAGCAGCTGAGCTTGTATGATAGTGTTTTGGTTTGAAAAGTAAGATATGGCTTTGAAAATACCGAGAAAAAAGCATAATATCTTCATTTTAGAAAAGAAAACAAAGTAGTAAAGAATTTATTTATAATGTCCATGGAGTTGTTATGTCTGTAGACGAAGTTTAACTTTTTTCTACGTGACCCGTCAGAGATTTTTACATAACACGTTATATAAAAAGTACAAATTATATTTATATTTACTAATATTAATACTGATTTTTCCTTGTTTTTATTTTTCTATAGAAATGCTGAACTTAAAGTTATAGTGAATAGGTAAGTAGGATACATATTTACTACCAATTTGTCTATTAGTTGGGTAGAATTAATTCCAAAGTAGGTTATCCTTTATACTGTGCTTATACGTTAGATTAAATCTGTTTTTCAAAACCATAGACATAATCCGCATAAATAAGATGAAATTAGTCCATGTAAAAGATACGTCAAACGTTACGAGTATACAAAATTTTATGACCATCGGTTAAACAGATAATTATTACTAAAATGGAATATACAGGAGAACCCGATTATTTAAATCAAATAAATCCAGGAGTATTTCGTATAACCGAAAATCCGGATAATCGATTTCAAAACCAAATTAAAAAATACATAATTAAATTTTAATATTTTTTATTAAGTAAAGGTACATCATTTAGATACGATATAAAAAACGAGCTATAAAGATAATGGATTACATAATACCTATTTAGCCAATTAATACATAATACCATTACTAAATCGGCAATTAGAGCCGTGAAGGATAACTCTGGATAATTGAATATCCGGATAATCGATGTTCGTATAATCGAGATTATAATGTAGGTATCTCATATTAAAATAGATATACTACAAATTTCAGTTATTTATGCAAAACAAAAAAAAAATATGTACTACATATACTATGACTTTTGATAGTCTTAATATTCGCTCATGATATTGAACATTTTCATGAATGGATTGTAATGGTTTACTTTATGACTCAATTTGAACAATATAGCTGTAGACACATTCGTGTTATTATCAGACAATGTTTTTGTCATGCGTGAATAATTAATAAATGTCGTATGAAAAATATGTAGAAAGAGTTAACAGATACATCAATGTTACACAGAGATACCAAATGAAAATAAAATATATAAATATACACATTTTGAAAATTGGTCAGATCGGTAAAGACAACAGAGTGTGGAAAAGTGATAATGGACAGACAGTATTTCATTAAGGCTCTATACGCTTGAACATGTAAACATTAGATTTTGTTATATCTAGTGAGAGATATGTCACGGCCACGATTTGGTGGGTTTCGGATATCCTTACCAAATAAATGAGGAAATGAGTTTCTTTGTTTATTCAATGGCTCGACCAATCCTCATGAAACTTGGTAAACACGTACTATTAGGATTCGGAAGGACTACTATTTATTCCGGCCAATCAACATATCCCGGTCACGAGGACAAGGTCAGAGATAAAAGCTAGTCCTTTACAAATAAAACAGCAGTCTTTCTTCATTTCCTTTCTTCTTTTTGATGTTACTTATTTTATTTTCTAAATTAGATAAAAAAACGTAATTAAAAATCTTGCAAAGGAATAAGTAAATATTCATAAAAAAATATGAATCTTTACAAACGACTTTAAAAAGAAGGAGGTTCTTTATTCGGTTGTGTTTTCATAACTCCCTCAGTTATAAATCGAAATTCGCAAATTCTTTTTTTTTCTGTAAGGATATACTTACAGATTGGTTTTGTAGAAATTAAAAAAAAAAAACAGTCCAGTAGCTTAGTTTTGGAATCCAAATAACTGGTTATGCTGCAGTACAAGTCCGTTTTTTATGAAACACAATTAAACCCAACATCAATATATTGCATTGAAAGGAAATGAGTAAGTTTTCTTATCTTTTTTTTTTACTGGAATATACTAGAATGAATAGGTAACACGTGATTAATGCTTGTACGTGCTTAAACGAGGCAGTATGCAAGAATGGGCAGGATATAATTAAAACAAGACTGAAGCCATAGGCCACCAATAGTGTCGAAATAACATGGTCGTATTCTGAGCGTGTGCGCATCCAATTCAACAGTAGTCACCGAATGTCCCATTGTGCAACTTAAGGTATGGTTACACGTGTACACATTATCGACCAAAGGATTTTTGTCATTAGTTGTTTTTATTATATTATATAACGGTTCACCGTTCAATGTGAATATAGGCCCACAAAGGGAGTTTTGCTAATAGTTGTAATACTTGACAAGTGGCTTGGTAATCGCAGTTAGGCTTTGGTAGTGTTTAAAGGGAGGCTTCTGCCTATTCCTCAACAATTAAGTTCCCTTTGTCGCCTCTTACGAGACCCATGGGAAAGGAAAAGGTGGTTCATTTTATGCCGAGACCACACGGAATTAATTAATTATTTTCGATTGTTTGTTTTAATTTTTATATCCCATTTTATTATGTAACTTATTTGTCTTGTTTTTCCAAATAAGTAAAATAAAGATATAAACATTCTGCCTACGTACATTTTGTTTGTAATGGAACTATTGTCTTATAAAAATATTCCAAC